TTTATGGAATGGAAAATTAGCATTATCCTCATTATGCCATGCCATAGGCTAGTTCCTGGAATCTCTTCTATTTTCATTTTACACTTTCTCCATAGCTTATCTCATTCAGTCCCATGAATTTAAACATTATCTATAAGATAACGATTCTCTAATCTAATCTAATTTCTGGCTTATTTATCACCACCTATTCAACATTTCTACTTGAAGTCTGATAGGCATCTCAACTGAATTTGTCCCTAACTAAACCCTTTCTTTCTCCCCACCCTAGTCTCTATTTCTTGTGGTCTTACCCAGCTCAAAAAATGAGTGCCAGCATCCACCAAACTGTTCAAACAAAACTGCAGGAAGTGTTGATTCTTATCTTTTCCTCTTCCTTCACTTCTAATCCATTGGTAAGTAATGTGTCTTCTTCCAAAATATGCTTCACATTCATTCATCTCTCTCAATCCCCATAATTATCTTCCTTGTTCAAGTTCTCTCACCCCTCCTTAGGTTATTGCACGTATTTTCTACTATTCTCCTTCTTCTCAATCTTGCCCCAAACACAAAAGCTCAAAAAAAAAAAAAAAAGCAAAACCCAACTATTCTCTTTGAAGCAGGCAGAGTTGCATTTTTTAAATATAATGAAATCACATCACTCCTCTGCTTAAGTTCTTCTAAAATCTAAAGTCTTCTCATCACCCTGAGAATAAAACCCTTTCTGGCTTACAATGTCATCTATGTCTTGGTATTTTGCTACCTTTCTGACGTCATCTGATAACATTTACCCTTCATGCTCAACCCTCAATGCTCCCAACTCACTGCACTTCTTTCTTTTCCTCATCAGATCAAGCTTGAGCCCCTTGAGAACTAGTGCACTTGCCAGTCCCTTTCAAATACTCTTTGCCTTCACTTTGGTGTAGGTGGTTCTCTGTCATTAAGATGTAACTTTTATTGTCACTTCCTCCATGAAACCTTCCCTGGCCACCCAGTCCAGAACAACTACTAGCTCTTTCAAACTTAACAGATCACTCATCATCAACTGACTATTTTGTTTACTTATTAATTCATTTATTTTCCAGCTTAATAAGCTAAACTTTAAGATCCAGGAGAGCTTTGGCTTTGATTAATATCTGATTATGGTTCTAACTACCTTAGTGTTTAGACCAGTGCTTGCTGTTTAGAGTGGAAAGCATTCAATAAATTTTTAAGTAAATGAGTGAATGAATGAATACTTTAAGAGCCAAAATATATTTTCAATTAAAAAATAAAATTTTGCTTGATGATGGCTAATGAAACCAAGGTTTCTTCAAAAAACCAAGATTGCTTAGCATGATACCAACAAGTAATCTCCTGTTATTCCTATCAATTTTGCTATATTTTCCCTTACATTGCCTTCTTTCTACTTCCTGCATTTCTATTTGCTTAAAAATTACCTTGCCATACTAAACATGAAAGCTCTATGAAGGAAGTGATTTTTTTCCTTGTTTGCTCACCACTGAATCCACAATCTAGGATAGTAACTCGAACACAGAGACACCCAAAAGTTTTTATTGAATCAGTGAAGAGAAAGGTATGTTTGAAAGTTATTGATTCAGATCCTCTCAATTCGCAGTGAAGAAACAAAAGCATTCTTACCTAGAAGCAATGGGCAACCTATTCTAAGTAAACACTTTTCATCATCCATACGTTCTTATGACTCAAATTCCTTTAGACCTTAGGTATGCCACTACAAACATTCTGTCTTAGTTTTCTTGCTCCCTAAAAACTTAGAATTAAAGGAAATAAACAAATCAATTAAAGTTATCTAATCTTTTTAGGGCAAGCCCAACTTGAGAGTTCAATAATCACAACCAACTGATTATCATCCAGGGATAAATGAGCACATAAGAGGAAAGAAGAATAATGGAAGAAAAAAATCTGAGAGGCAATTTTTGTGCTGCTTAGGATAAGACTTTTCTTGTTTTATTGAATTTGTTAATAAAAGCTCTGAAGTCTAGGGAAATGCTTCTGGGCAGCAAAAGCAAAGTTTTGAAGCTCACAGGCCTTAGGAGAAATTAATAAAATGCAGTGGGGAAATTAAGTTGAACAAAAGTGCAACGAGCCATAGTTAAACCAATTAATTAAGCAGGTTTTGATATGTATATAACTGAGTTGCTGAAGAATTAAAAATAAATTCAGGATTTTAAATCAATGTTTGGTATTCAACAAAATACCAAACAGTAACATGCAGAAAACTTGTAGATTTTTAGTAGTGATCTTTGATGAATTCCTTCCTCATTCATATGCATCACTACCTTTTCTTTTTTCCATTAAACTTAGAAAAAACTATGCTTTCAATAACATGGAAAAGTCTTATGCTTTGCCTGATTCTCTTCTGCTTCTATGTCAATTTCAAAACCATATCACTTTCTTGGAACACCAATTATAAAATTTTTTTTTTTTCAGTGGTATATTTGCTGTTTTTCAAGCAGTGATGAAGATTAACTTGCTTAGCGCACCTGCAGCCTGGCAGGTGTGAGGCAGAACAGTTGAGGTGTCAAGCCTACAGACTGGGGAGTCACACAGATCAAGAGGCACTTCCAAACTCATCACTCAAGAGCAATGAGACCCTATACAAATAACTTAGTTCCTGTAAGCCTCAGCTTCCTCCACTGTAAAAATGTTGTACAAGCTAAATACATTTGAAAATTCCTTGGCACAACATCTGGCAGAGAAATTTCTCAATAAAATGGAAGAATTAACAGGGGGCTGGCCCCGTGGCCGAGTGGTTAGGTTCGCGCACTCCGCTGCAGGCGGTTCAGTGTTTCCTTGGTTCGAATCCTGGGCGCGGACATGGCACTGCTCATCAAACCACGCTGAGGCAGCGTTCCCACATGCCACACCTAGAAGGACCCACAACAAAGAATATACAACTATGTACCGGGGGGGCTTTGGGGAGAAAAAGGAAAAAAATAAAATCTTTTAAAAATAAATAAATAAATAAAATGGAAGAATTAACAGTAGAAAGCAGTTCCCAACTTGTGGATGTCTTTTGATTGTCAAAATTGCTTGTTTGGAACTTTAAACATATATTTCCACCAAAATTCTTTTTAAACCATAATAAAATGGTTTGTGGAAAGTAGGTTTCTAGACTAGTGTCCAAAGTCTTCATTTCCCATTACATTATTTCAGTCAAGAATTGTCTAATAGTACCCTGACTAGAAGGGCTAACTTGTCCTGGTTTTCCCTCAACTAAAAGTCCCTCATTCTGGAAAATCCTCTGGTTCCAGACAAGTCTAACCACAATTCTTTCATTTGGAACCTAATCATCATTCATTCATTCATCCATTTTTCTGCAGCAGTAGATACATGGTTAAGTGCTGAAGATACCAGGACAAATCATCCTTAACAAATCCAGAGCCAGCAAAGGAGACAGATTAGATGAACAAGGGTCCACCACAAGCCCTGTGTTAAATGCTAATGATGGAGGTTTGCCCGGGATGTGGAGGAAACACGGGAGTTGGGTAGCTCATACAGACTCATGGTTTAGGGTGACTTCTCAGAGGAGGTGACCAGTGAACTGGAACATGAATTAGCTATGCAGCCCAAACTAGTGCCTTCTACTTAGTTCTTCCGGGCATTTTTCATGTCTGACTTCAGTATTACTTAAATATACATATTAAAATGCCATCCCTTTAGATTTACTTTGCTTGTTATCTAGACAGATTTTGAATAACTTCTGACATGCGTGTAATTTTTATGGAATGTCAGCAAAATATGATATAAATAACTACAAATCCTTGCTTGTGTAGCAGTTCCCACTCTGCTGTACAATTCTGTCTCCCACTCTGGAGATACAGCTAAGATAAAATCCACCTTTAAGAATGCCAATCGCCTGCTTGCTTTGCCGTTATTTGAAACATTGCACAAAGGAAATTATTGGAACATGTTAAATTGAAAAAAAACAGAGGTTATAATAAATACTATTGTTCTATCCACAATAATGTAGTGGTTACCCCAAAGTTAGCAATTTAAACAGGTTTCCTAAAGCTTGTTATCAAAGAAGTGGCAATCTATCCTTTATATTTCAATAACTTTTAAAGTTTTCCTGTACCTGCCTCTGTCATTACTGCATATGCTGCAGCAAGATGATAAGACACAGTCTGCTTATACAACAGAAAGTTCTGACGCAACATTCACTGACTAATAGCTTGAAGTCTCGATTCTTCACCTGGAGAAAGAAGTAGATTTTTCATAGATTCAGAAGGTGAGAGGGGATATATTCCCATACAGGTTGTAAGCTTCACAGGGCCTGGAACCACATCTTTATTGTTCACTGCTGCTTTCCCAGCACTTGGGACATAATTGATGTACAAAACGGTTGAGTAAATAACAAAACACTTTTAAATGTCTTCACTCTATATTTCCCACAAATGATTGTTCAGTCTCCAAAAAACTCCAGAGACTGAAAAATACTCTTTGCCATTCATAAAAATCAGTAAACCTCTTTAACATCAGAAAGTTATACAGCTTAAGCTTCAAAGTCAGTTAGGGACAAGACAGGCCAAACCCACACGTTCTTATTTATGTAGAGGCCAGTTAATGTCACTTCATTCCTTCACCTCAGCTGCTACATCGAAAATCTTGACCGGTAAGAATGTACATGTGATTAGTTAAAAAGCGTCCTTGTTATAGTAAAGATATCTCACACCATGCTTTCTGAAGAATGTGGACCAAAAGCATCAATTTATAGACTCATTAGTAACAATCATCATCTATTTTAAGCCCCGTAGAGTTTATAAATGAATGTCAGATAATAGCCTTATTGACTATGAAGGTTCTTGGTAATTTTGAGCAATCAGACAAAAATACTAGAATTCCCACTTCTGAATAGTTTTTTGCATTTTCGTCACTGTTTTTCTTACATATATACACTTGTTACTGTTTATCTAATCAACACACCTGACACATATAAATTCAACGGAAGAGTAAAAGCAACAAGTCTTTAAAATTTTTAAATTTTTCATATTATTTTTTACCTTTGAAGCTTACTACACCAACTGCAGTTGAAGCCAATCTGAGAGGATACACAGGAGCCACAATCATTAAACTGGAGACAAGCTAGGAAATAAGAGAGAAGAGATTCATCAAGACCAATTGATAGCATGGAGAAAAAAAGATGACTCAATCAAAATAAAAATCACTCACTTATTCTCATATACATACAGGATGCAGATACCCGTACACGCCAAACACAATGCTACCATTATTGGTAAACAAATCAGATCACCAAACTTGTAAATCATCTTTTCCACCAGCTGTGTTCGCACGTTAACTTACTAGGTAATGGGGTCATTTCCACAGCTGAAATGTTGGTAATTCTTGACATTTGGAGCTCTACTCGGTGGTATTCATAAATTGTTCTTCTTCGGACATCTGGAAAAAAAACAAACTTTCAAAATTTCTTCACCTATAAAACAACAGTGTTTTAATAAAGAATGTTGAATTAGATACTTTTCATCTGATGCAGATTTAAAATAATCAATCCCTATGAAGAGATTGATTATAAAAATCCTGAAAATCATCTGCCTATAGACTGAGAAGTCTTTTTATCAGTGAAATTGAAAATGTTGATTTAGGGTCTCTGATATCTCCCTTAGCTAGCATGCCTCCAAGTCAATGTCTCCCAGAGAATACCTAAGATGTTTTCTTGATAGAGCCATGTATTTTGAAAAATTTGATACATAAAATAAGGAAAGTAAGATGCCACAATTTCTCCGAAACTTATGCTAAACTGTGTCCTTTAGGAACAGGTAACAATTAAAAATTTCTCACAAGTAAAGGTAGTTTTTGCCACAATAAGAGTCTGATTGCTTTAGAGGTTTAAATAAATTTCTCTAATTAAAGTAAAAACAGAACTTAAATTATTAAAAATAAATTGGTATTGTTATTTATTAAATATATAGTATCATACCTAAGGAAGGTTAGTAATTAACACTTAGACTACATGCAAGCATTTATAATAATTCATCAGCAAATCCAGCAGTGTTCCTGAGGAACAGGCTAGATGGAGACTTTGACAAAAACTTTAATAATTGAAAATCATATAAATATAAGCAAACATTTTATAACAAAACAAGATGTTGATGAAATATATTTAAAATCCCCTTTTTAAAAAAGCCCAGAGCCTTATATTAATGAGCTTGACTGAATTTGAGAAATGTCAATGGAAAAGTAATGTTATCAGTATTTTATTTAGGTCTTGGAATGCTTATAATGACAGGGCTGCATTTCCTGAATATTACCATATCCATCAGGAATTATAGGGGGGTGGTAAGTTGTTTTAAAAATATCATAGTATCCAGTCTTGGGAAATCACATGTCATAGTGGTTAATAATGCACACTCTTGAACAGTTTGTGTGGTTCAAATCCCAGTGTTGCTACTTAGTATCTGTGTGACTTTGGGCTTCTTTGTTTGTCTCTCTGCTCAGTTTCCCCATCTATAAAATAGAGATAATAGGACCTATGTCACTGAGTTTTTTTGAGACTTAAAATGAAATCATAAATAAAAATTGATCAGAACAATTCCCTTTCACATTGCAAGACTCAATAAATGTCAGATATAACTTTTGTCTAGCTTCAATATGGCAACCATGGATCATACTGATTATATGCTGCATATAATGATCTCATTTCTATAGGTCTAAACTCACCAAAATCACTGTAAGGCCCTGAAATCAAGCTTCTGGGAATTTGTCTCCCATCTAATCTTACAGAAAGTTAAATTTTGATTAAAGTCAGTAGAGCCAACAATGCTCTCCTGTAGGACATAAAGTAGGAGTGTACTGCCCAGAGGGTAGTGAGCTGACTCAGTGTTCAGGAATGTAGATCCCTACCTGTCCAGGAGGGAAGTCAAACACCTACTTACAACCTACACATCTCTCTACTTTTCTCCACTCATATCCTTTCACCCATTTCCAATTATTCACCACGAAACTGTGCTCTAGAAAAGGAAGGGGAAGGCAGTCACCCAGAATGAACTCTTCTGGGGCTAGGAGTGGTTCTAGAGCAATTCAGTGAATACAGTCACGCACCACATAAGGACACTTTGGTCAACGATGGTCAGTGGTCCCACAAGATTAGTACCATAGAGCTTAGATGTGTAATAGGCTAGACTATCTAAGCTTGTGTAAGTACACACTAGGATGTTTGCACAGCAACGAAATCAGCTAACGCATTTTTCAGAATGTATTTCCATCCTTAAGTGACACATGACTGTACATCTTCAGGTTTATCAGATTGGAAAACATTGTTCAAACCCTAATCCAATTAATTTCTTTTTGGTATAAGTGAAAGATGCACATATACTTTTCAAGTGTAAAGTTTATCAAACACGAGAGAAAATGCTGATTTCATGATATTTAGTAAGGTTTCTTGAGGTACATGAATCATGTCTTATTTTTTTAACTTCTAAAGCATACAAAAAGATTACTCAGCTTCTGCCTTTGTCTAAATAGGATGTGTTCCCATACACTGCTTCCCCTGTATTTTGCTAAACAATTTAGTTCTCAGAAGTAAATAACATGGCTTTGCCATGAGATCACTGGCATGAGGGTTTTTGAGTCTTTTTCATAGTAAAGTTTCCACAGTATCTATCATATTAGTAGATGCTTAAAATACTAGGCGTTTTTTCATTTCATATTATAATTTGAAAAGCTCAAACTACTGACATAATGACTGTGAAGCCTCTGGGATTTAATTATCAATCACGCATATGGGGTAAACGGAGGAAAGACCTTTGTTGCTATGCTGTTCTATCACCTGCTCAAACACTTCCGACTGTTGGGAGGAGATGATTTTAACAAAACCCAAATTCATGAGAATGATTTTTGCTTGATGACCTGCCAGTCAATGACAGCTTCCAAGTGGTCATTTCTGTTGTATGTCGGAGATATCCCTGTCAAAAGCAAGTAATTAGGAATACATTTACTAGCAGCTCCTGCCAATACTAGAAGCTTTCATTTGATTCCAGAAATGTACTTAGTTCATGTGTCTTCTTTAGAAAGTCAGCCAAAATAATGCTATACCAAACATTCAGTCTTAGTGTTGGTACAGCTTCAACGGTTTTATTACAACTTTACAAAACCAAGATGAGCTATAATACCCATTATGGACTTTTAAAAATTTTTTAAAACTGAAATTAAATCTCTGAGCAGACTAACACATAGAGAATAAAGCTCAGCAATCAAAATCTTAAGGCGATGACTCAAAGCGTAACTGTTGAATTGCATTTGTTAGAAATCCTGAGCAATATCCGCAGGAGGGACAGAGTGATCATATGGAAACACCACGACTCCTTTCCAATCAATAGCCACTCTCGCTGAAGTCGATACAGTTTAATGAGTACCTTGTGGCATGATTAGCCATGATCTGGTTTATTTGCCTGTCTTGAAAGCCAACATTCACATAGAGAATGTATGAGTAATTTCCAGAATTGGCTGATTCTTATATTTATATAAATATCTTAATATTTTGTCTGAATTGTCAAGTAAATGATTTGCTAACATTTCCTTATTTATGTGTTGCGAATGCTTAACGTCTGGCCCTAATTTATTCTTTCTTACTTTCTTTTCTAGTGCCAATTGAGCTCACCACAGAGCATCGTTTATTGAGTACTCTTTAGTGTAAATAGCATGTATGGCACAACTACAAGTTCATTCCCGGCATGAAGACTCAGGGGACAAAAGAGACTCTTGAGAGAAAAAGTTCACTATGACAGCAATTACAAGCGTCCCACACAAAAATATAATGCATTCACAGAAATAGCTAGTGGAAGTTGTTAAATAAAGCATCTACAAGTAGAATATGCTTTAGCCTCAATTTTTAAAAATGTCTTCTGTAGTTGTATTTCTATTAAATAATAATGTAATTCAGCACTGGAGAAGGCAACAGGAGATTTAGGTGTCCATGAAGCGCTAATCTGAACCTCTCAGGTTTTCTTCTCGTCATTCCTTCGTTGCTTGCGAAGTTTCAGGACACAGCTAAATCCTAAACGGCCAGATTTTATAAGTAACTTGAGCATGCATATGGGAAATCACAAACTTGATCTAAAAACAATCTTCACTTTTCTTCGCCCTTCATGTATATTTTACTAATGGCTTAAGCCAGTTGCATTTCCTGACTTCCTTCAGTCATCACTTTGCCTAAGAAGAGAACCAGACCCAGTGTTGGGACAGTAAATGGTCAACATAGAGTCATAGTGGGCTGGTGTGATGTGTGGACTACAGACCTGACCAACCTCATGATTCCCACTGGCCCAGGGGACTGTTTATCTGAACATGGCGCTCCCCTCAGAGGAACACAGCTCCCTACTCCTGAGACTTATGGGGACATTTTTATAATGTACAGTTGAAATGTCATTAAATCTCCATTTTTTTTTCTGAGAGAAAAACAAGATTGTGACTTTCTTAAATGAAATTGGGCGAAATGCTGTAAGATTTCTTTATTTTAAAATCAAGTTTTTGTAAAGAAGTTTTTGGTGCCAAATCACTCAGATGTTTGGCATTCATGCGAGGAAAAAACTACATTTTCAAGATACTAAACTTCTTATAGCAAAGTTCAGTTGGAAAAATTGACGTGAGCATGTTTATAAATGTAGGCAATCAGTATTAGTTAAAAAGAGAAATATTCTCTGTATAGCAGGAAAGTGTAAATTAAAGTAGAAATATTCACTATGTAATAGGGAAAAGTAAGAAATAAGGCAAGGGAAATTGAATTTGAGGGCAAATATGAAAGAAACAAGTAAAAAATCAAATCTCTGAGGTCATAATTTAAAACAAAAAAAAGCTGAGAGAATTTGATGAAAAATTCAGTTTAGATTGTTTTTGAGAACTGTTTTGGCTATTTTCCTATTCCTTCCACAGTAAGGCAACCACAGAGTGGAGTTATGAAAAGAAGAGCTATTTTGAAAAAAAATAAAAGTACATTAAATTGGGTTTCTCTTCTTTGGACCAATAAATCCTAGCCTAATAGGAACCCAATAGATATTTGTTGAATAAATGAACGTTTAAATGTCTTGAATTTTTCATGATGTATTAAAGTTCTTTCTGTAACTTTGGGGATTTTAGATTATAAATAAAATAATTCAAATATTATTAAATAAGTGAGAGGTATATCTCTAAATCAGTAAAAATTTACTTTACCTGAGATTGTTGTACAGATAAAAAGTCAATGAATGAAAGAACACATAAATAGGGAAAAAAAAAAGAAACAATTTAACCAGAAGTCCTTGAAGGAATTCATTTTTGTTGAAAAGAATTCTAAAAAATAATTTCAAATATGTTAAAATGAACTAATCAGTGACTTTTAACACAGAATATTTTCAAATTTTTTGCTTCTTTTTAAAAATCAAGTCAGGGTCAATCAAATAAGGTAG